CTGTACAGTGGGGTCTCTACTTAAGAACTTAATCCGTATTGGAAGGTGGTTCTCAAGTTGAAAAGTTCTTATGTTGAATCTGCATTCCCATAGGAATGCATTGAAAACCATTTAATCTGTATCTGCTCTTTTCCGCCCATAGAAACTAATGGGTAGCTGCTATTCCGCCTTCTACCACTAGAGGAGGATATTTTTTCTTTTTTCTTTTTTTCCCTTAGGTCAGGGAGCAGTGTTAAAAGCACTTCTGACGAAGCTAATTTTGAAGCAATGGACTGAAAACCAATTAATCTGTTCTGGCTGTTTTTTTGTTATGTAGAGGTGCGTTCGTACATTGAAGCATTAGTTCCCATAGGAACTAATGCAAAGCTGGTTAATACGTACTCTACCACTAGGGGGAGAACTTTTTTTTAACCTAAGATGACCTAAGGTTATAAAAAGAGCAGGAAAGTTTTTTTTTCCTGTTCTTATCTTGGATTTTTGTTCTCAAGTAGAAGCAAAATTTAGCAAATGGAGCTGTTCTTAAGTGGAATTGTTCTTAAGTAGGGACGTTCTTAAATAGAGACCCCACTGTACCTATTTATCTACTCACATTTGCATGCTTTCGAACTGCTAGGTTGGCAGGAGTTGGAACGAGTGACGGGAGCTCACTCCGTCATGTGGATTCGATCTTACAACTGCTGGTCTTCTGACCTTGTAGCAGAGAGGCTTCTGCGGTTTTACCCGCAGTGCCATCATGTCCGTATATAGTCTTAGCAGGGTAAAAATGAAGCACCAGGCTCAGGAAGCATTTACCTAAGAAAAAGTTCTGTCATGTACTTGTGAACAATGCAGGGGGTCTTTTTTTCAGGTATCTGTAGAAAGAAAGGAGATACTTTGTTCATCACAGGTCCTGTACCTTTAAAAATCTTAGCATTCATTCTGTCTTTCCAAGTTTGTTGTCTTTATGGAGCTGTTAAATATGTCTGTGAACACTCTTTCCCAAAATATAGGCTGATTGAAAAATACGGTTTCCTGGAAATACTTTATTTACTATTGTGGCATTCGCCCAGGTCATGAATATTCGTATGCCATCTGCATAGACCAATGGGATTGCTGGAGGGGCGGAGTTACGAAATATAAGCATCTCAGCAGGTGGAGGGGAGAGTTAGGGAGTTGAAGAGATTGAGAGAGTTTTGGAGTTTGGGCGGGGGGAGTGGTTGTTGAGATTCGATAAAGGAGAATGTTTAAGAGTTAACAACATTGCTTGTTTTGTTCACACCTGTAACAATAAACAATTTCTCTGATTCTTTTAAAATGACATGTGGCCTGGAACTCGATTCTTAATAATAGTTATTGTTGATCTAATCAACTGGTGGCAGCTGAAAGACATGTAGTGTGAGCTCTTAGTTTGGTGAAACAAACACAGGCCATGTGGAGATCATGATAACTATAAAATATATTGCTGTTCTGTAACTAACTGAAAATATATTCTGTGATAAACCAATCTGTTTTATATGTATTTTCATTTTGTTTGTTTGTTCCTTTAGCCTACTGGAGGTTTTGGTTATGTGTCAGTGTTGTGTATGAGCTTTTTCTCATCTTCATACTCTTTCAGGTAAGAATTTTTAAAATGTGCATCTTAAACTTTAGACACTATGTTCATTAGTAATTAGTTCTATTGCCATTGTTCCACTTAGAGCAGGGGTCCCCAACCCCCAGTCCGTGGGCTTCCTTGAACTGGGCCGTGGACATGGATCACTGCCCCCCCCACACGCATGCACGGTGCGCGTGCTGTGCTTGCGAGTTGGCGTGTCACACGGGCATGGGCGTGAGTGCGACACGCCCCTCCGCAAGCACGACACGCCCCTCCGCAAATGTGGGGGTGCACCCCCCACACGGAGCCCACACCCCCAACTGGTTTGCAGTCCAAAAACGGTTGGGGACTGCTGACTTAGAGGACTTGTCCACTCTGATTTATAGTACCTCTCGAGGGTCTGACGTAGAGGTGTTTCTTATTGACCCGTGTGCTCATGGGGTCCAGTATTGTCCACTCTGATTTATAGTACCTCTTGAGGGTCTGACGTAGAGGTGTTTCTTATTGCTGATTATTGCAACTTTTTAAAGTGGATATGCTGGGGCCTTAATTAAGACTTTCTGTATACTGTTAAGTTCTTGCCCCATAATAATACAATTTATATAATTAAATTCTCATTGGCTTCTGTATTGCGAAGTGCAATAAGATGCTCCAGTGGGAAATACACTTTAGAGCATTCTTGAAAAATGAACAAGAGGTATCCATTCTTCCTCTCAGCTATGTCCTTTTTACAAATCAAAAGGCAGAACTCTGCTTCCCATTATGTTCTTTGTAACAACCACATAAACAAAATTAAAAGGCAGACACCTCCTTCCATTTTTTCTTCTTCCTACAGAACTAGAATGGGTCTGTTTCCTTTATACTGTACTGCATAGAATTTTTGTGGGGGACTCTTGTATTATGAATTTCATAAATGCACCTATGAACAAGTTCCCAAGAGCATGTAGAGAAAGTTCACTTGAGACTAAACCAAAGAATGTGGAATGTGCAGATATTTCCTGCTAAAATATCTTCTAAGACCTTATGCAAGAATAACTCCCACGAAGAGCTCCAGAGATCTCAAGCCATTTCAGAGCATTTTCTTCTGACAGATGTTGAATCACAACATTGGCTCAGTACAGCTCTTTACAGAGCTGCAGCCTTGTAATAACCACTTGCCTAAATGTCTGTGACCCATGAAAACAATTTCATATAGCAGAGGTGCTCTGCTAGACAGGGCTGGGTTATAAAGATGGCATGCAAAGGTCATTCTCCCTTTGGAGTCTACAACTTTAAAGATCAAAGGAGAGAATCATAAAACAGACTTCCTAGTGCAGTAATAGAGGAAGGAGAAAGACTGAGTTGTAGTGAAATGTCAACTTGCTGTAAGGTTGTCATTTCAATTCTTTAGGCAGTGTATGAACTCCTGAATTTCTGCCTTCAGTCTTTTCCCAGAAGTGATGAAACTGAATGTGAATTTTTTTTTTGTTTCCAATGTCTCTGTTTAAAAGGACTTGGATTTTTCATCTTTGTTATCAGCTTAACATGTAAAAATAATTGTTCAAGAATTTCTCTATTCTGTCATTGTCGGGATCTGCAAGATGAGGGGAAGTAGGGGTCTTGCAGATGAAGTCAGTCTCGGGATCTGCAGATGAAACCTCCCTCCCCTCTTGACCAGCAAGGAGAAAGGAGACGAGCGCTCAGGGGTATATTTCAGGGCGGGATCCGGATGAATAAGGACAGCTTACCCTCAGGCATCTGTCCCGAGGAATCTTCTTTCCTTTTCCGCGCCCCCTTTTTTATTGTACTCTACTACCTTTGCACTAGTTAATCAATACAGAGGTAACTAATTTCCTTGAATACACAAGCATCAGTAAACAGAGTGGTTGGTAAACAGACAGGCTGGTAAACAGACAGTTAATAGTAAACAGACACAGATAATGGTCAACAGATAATTTCCTGAGTACATAGACGAGTTAGACAAGTTCTTGAATACACAACAGTGTAGAGACTGTAACTACATTATCCAGAGACAATAGACAGCAGGTCAATGATTTATCCGTTACTGGAAGTTAGCAGTTATGTACGTGTCTTGCAGCTAGGGCATGATGCCTGCTACTAGCATACAGATATATACATTTATATACATTTATAATATTCATTTGCTACTGCCATAGATATATACATTTTAAAGGCATACAATTTTCCCACATGTCATGTTTTATAACATGTCTTAACTGTTTCTAATAGATACAATTTAATTCTGCAGACTGTTCATGATGGAAGACAGTTTATGAAGTTCATAGATCCTAATTTAGGAGTACCCTTGCCTGAAAGAGACTATGGCGGAAATTGCCTTATATATGATCCAGACAATAAAACAGATCCCTTTCACAATATTTGGGTAAGATACTAAGATTGAGAGACCTTAAATCAGTAATAGTATTTTTTGCTTGTGTGCTCATCATATGCCTTGGGATGAGGATTCCCCAAAGTATGCCACCTCAGTGTTGCCATCTTTAGAGTTTTTAACATTGTCAGATTGCCTTCTTATATGTACTATAGCAATAAAATGCTTTACAGATGTTCTTAACCATAGCATCGATTGCATTGTCATAACAATGATCTGATAATGATGAATAGATACAACCAGGCTGCAGTTCACTTCTTTACTATAAAACATGTTGCATTATAACACAAGATTTCAGAAAGTTAGAAGGGAGAGATACAAATTTGGAATGGCATCCTTCAGTCTCGAGAGACTATGGTAACGTGCTCTGTGTGGAGGACTTGGAGAGTGCCCTCTTCAAAGCACGAAGCCTGGATAAAATAATATGGAGGATAGGCTGTTACCCAAGCAGCAAATCCCCTCTCTCCGCGTTGCTGAAATAGTCCAATGGAGAGGCAATAGACAATACAACTGGTTCCAGCGACGTAGCAGGAGTTGCCAGAACGACACAAACTATCTCTGGTACTCCGGCTCCAGATTTTGCCTCGAGGTTAACTCCTGAAGCCTTTTCCATCAGTGGATATAGCCACAAGGCAGTGGAGGTTTAAAATCGGAGTTTTCCTTCTCCTAGATGGGCTGCCTCCCAAGGCTGATGAGCCCCACCTACCCGGCTTGCTCCCTCACGGCATGGATGATGGTAGCGCCTCCTCCTCGTTTTTGTTCCCCTCAGACGAGGACGACGACAGCCCGGCTTTTCCCCTTGCGGTGGCGGCGGCCTCCTCCTCCTCCATTTTCCCCCTCATTGGGGCTCCATGCACGCTGGTTACAAATATAGCATAACAACAACATACGCATGCAAGTTCAATAAACACTGTCCACCAGAGTTCAGAATAACAGGCTTTCAGGCGATTTTCAGATTCGAATGCCTTTTTTGCCTTTATCTTTTGAGCTTTAAATACCTTTTCTAAAATTATACCCTGCACATAGCTTGGTGCCTGTTGGCTCTTTCTGGACAATCACAAAAACGTATCTCATGAGTAATTTTTTTAATCTACAGTTAATATCTATCTTTGACAAGCAAAATAAAACAAGGACTATATTACTGGTATCCCAGAGTGCCATCCAGTTCTGTTGAGAACCCGATCAGACTAATGCCTGCTCAGAATTCTAGAAGGTACCAGGTTGGGGTGTCAAGAGGTTATTCATAGTACATTATTTTTATTCAGCAAGTCTTAGCTTAGTGCAGTCTTGCCAAGCATCCAATCACTGCCTCATAATCTCATACTCTTGAGGATGTGTCTCAGCTGGTGGTCCAGCAATGGTGAAGAGTCAATAGTTCTTCGTGGCCTCTGTGAATCACACCCTAGGTGATTCGCACCTGCGCAGAGCCTCATCAGAAGATTCTAGAGCTTCTGCAGTAGCAATGAATACATTAGAATATGCCCCTCCCCACCCATATAAGTACCTTGGCACCAAACGTCCCCTTTCAGTTTCTTTCAACCGCCACGTTGAGAGCCTCATAATTCTGCTTCTATGAGTAAAAGAGAAAGAGAGCTTATTCTTGATTCCTACCTATCAGTCTTTAAAAAAAAAAAAAAACTTAGATCAAACTTATTATCATCAGAGATTTTTTCCCCCTTTCCCCTCACTCAGCCTCTGGCCACAGCATCAGCCCTCTTCAATCATCGGTTTTCCTCCTCAATTATTTCTCGCCTCTCGAGATAATACCATTTAGTAGTCGGCCTATCTCTCGACAACCATCGGTGTTGAAGTGGCCACATCACCGAGAGGTACCTATACCGTAACCTGCTCCCCACTTTCTATCGAAAAAAACTCAAACTGTCGAGCAGATTTCATCCACACTAACCTGCTCCCCGCTTGGTATCGAAAAGAAGTCAAACTGTCGAGCAGATTTCATCCACACATGAGGCTTTTGCAGCCCCAGCCTCCCAATACTTTCCTACTACAATAGATGTTGAAAATCACTCTTCATGCTCAGCATCACCAGCGTCTGTTTATTCTACCACTATGCCATTGCATCAGCAACCTCCATTTCGACATCACAGAGACACAGGCTCTGATATCAGTGATCCTCGATATTCATGCTGGTCCATGGACACTTACTCCATTCCGTTACATCAACACTGTTCCCGTCCTCTGGTAAATCCAAGTCATCCAACCCAGCACCATTACGACACTGAGCTCAACAGCAAAGTCCATCCCTATCTATCTAGGTTCGTCGATGCTAAACCACTATTTTTTGATGTTGACGATCCTCAACATCGACAGATGTCCATGGACATGCCGCCTCCATTTTTTCCAACTCTTAACCGACAATACTATGAAACTCAGCCTCTCGACACCAGTTGATCGATAGTCCGTCAACTCCAGACGCAACCTCGATGGCTATGACCATGGATCTTGGCCACAGACTCTATCAGTATTACCTCTCCAGAGTTGGAAATTGTCAATGCCGACCCGCCGTCACCAGCAGAAAATTTCCAGACCTATACCCAACATGATTCGTATGACTAAATTCTTTGATCTGCAAATCCACCGACCGTTGACAGAACCAGGCTATCATCTATATGATCCTGTCTCCAAAAATACAAGCCCGAAAAACCCACAACAACCACAACCACTCCGTTACACATATCAATGTTGCCATCTCTCTTTAGTCCTGCACAGAGATTCTGGACAAAACCAGCTTCCTCCAATACCATGTCTATGCGGATTGATAACCTTTATAGAATCTATGACCCAAGAGCCATTTTCCTCCAAAAACAACCAGCTCCAAAGCCTCTCAATTGAGATCTCGACACCGACAATCTCTCATACCACCAAATAAAGACAGCCAATGAAAAGACTTTACTCTTCTTGACATTGGTCAAGACACAGCCTTCACCATGTGAGTTGCTAATTATCAAAGAGCCATGGGAGCTTACCAGTGCTTCCTCTGGGACATGTCCACCTTTATAGAATCCCTGCCAGAGGATAAAAAGATACTAGCACAAACCTTCCAACAAGAAGGTCTCTCTGTTGCTAAACAACAGATGCTTTCTGCCCACCACACTGTAGATGCTACAGCCAAGTCCATGGCCACTTCAGTAGCCCTGCGCCGTTTTTCCTGGCTCAGAATGGCTGGCTTAGCCGAAGATGCTCAGGCACGCATCAAAGACCTCCCCTTTAATGGAGCAGGTCTTTTCCATGCCGAAACTGATAATATACTAGAAAATGTACAAAAGAAATATCCATCAGCCAGACATTGGGGAGTTTATCCTTCCTACCAGCAACATCCTCAGCAAAATCAATGGAAACGACCCTATAACTTGTACCAGAGGTTCCAATGAGACCTTCCACAAGAAGCCTCTTACAATCCATACTTCAAAAACCAAAGAGCCAAAACCTGGCAATAGCCTGCCACTAGGCAGAATGACCAGAAACCAAAAACACCATGTTTGACGTTCCTCTGACCACGATCGCCACCCACCCCACCAACCCTGCCCTCTGGAAACGCTTACCTGCATGGGAATCCATCACCACAGATTCCTGGGTACTCTCCATCATAAAGAAACAGCTGCTGCATCCACTTCTTTGAAGTTCCTCCGACAGCACATGTCATCGTTCCTCCATCACAACCCCTGCAAAAAGAAATAATGAATTTACTTCTCAAAGATGTCATACAACCCATCAAAACAACACTGGGTTTTTCTCTTGCTATTTCACCATCCCCAAGAAAGACGGGGGCCTTCGCCCTATTCTAGATTTAAGATTATTAAATAACTACATCGTCACCACAGAATTCTGCATGATTACTCTAGAATCAGTTCTTCCATTACTTTGGAAAAACAACTTGTTCACCATCATAGACCTAAGAGATGCTTACTTTCATATTGCAATACATCCCACATACAGAAAATTCCTATGTTTCTGACTTGGATCACAAGCATACCAATTCAAAAGACTCCCATTTGGCCTTGCAACAGCTCTGAGACTGTTCCCCAAGTGCATGGCGCCGGTAGCTGCCTACCTCACACTTCAAAACATCCTTGTCTTTCCATATATCAACGACTGGCTCCTTGTAGCACACTCCTGTCACAAAGCTCAGCGAGACACCCATTTCACTCTTGCCCTTCTTTGCAATCTTGGTCTAACTATCAATGAACAAATATCAAAATTAAAACCTACAAGGACTATACATTACATAGGTGTGCTCATAGACTCCATACGAACTCGCATGCTCCTCCCTGCAGAAAAGAAACAAAATCTCCTCACCTTACTTTGCAGCTTCACTCCGCGTGCCTTGATACCTGCCTTAATGGTATAATGAGTTTTAGGCACCATGGTCTCTATGACGTCAGTTGTACAACATGTGTGTCTCAAAATGAGATCTCTCCAATCCTGGTTTCTGGCGCTATTCGATCCATGAACAGACTCTCCCCACACTCTCCTAAGAGTCACTCCACAGCTGGCCTCTCAACTTCAATGGTGGCATTCCCATACCAACTTTTCTATCGGGCGACTATTCCAACAA